TGTGCGCAAGGTATCATGGAGGCTTTTTTCGATGTGGTCATGGTTCGTTATGCTTTTGTTTACCTTTTTTCTTTTTGATCGAAGGAAGAAGGGCAAAGAAAAAAGTTTAAAGTTCGATATTTGTTTATTTGTTGACGTTGTTGTGATGGTGGCGACGGATGGGGGGATGGTGTTGGGCATAGAAGAGAGATATCGTGTCTGGAATGAGCTATGACGACGGTCTGTGATCATTTTATTTTTTAGCGGTTGTGTTGTCACGGTTTTTTGATCGTGGAGAGAAATGAGATTCAGTCAACACAGATTTTTTTCAATGGGCGCTTCATATCCGTTCTTGTTTGCTGACCCAATCCTTTCCACATTTCCATGAACGACATATGACATGTTAATAGAAGGACATGCAGAGCGACTATGACACCATCGTCGTTCCTTTCATCGAGAAGCACGCCGACGTCTTCACCGAGGACATCAAGGCCAAGTTCTTCTCCTTCGAGAACTTCCGCATCATGACCGCCCACGTCTCCACCCGCGCCATCGATGTCGACGACTACCACGTCTCGGCCTTTGTTCCTTTCGTTGACTTGTAAGTGACATGGTCAAGTTGCTCAGGAAGAAAAAAAAAGAATGTGTCTATTCTCACCGCTAACACTTTTTATCACTCTGCTCATCTGAACAACCAAAATAGTATCAACCACAGCTCCGAGCCTAACGCCGAGCACTTGGCCCACGAGGATGTCTGCGAGGTCTGCGGCGCCCTTTCTTGCGAGCACATGGGCGAGTTTGAGTCCGATGACGAGGACGTCGAGGAGGTTCCCGAGCTGGCCCAGGAGAAGAGGGAGGCTCGTGCTGCCGCCAAGAAGGCTGCCGCTGCTCCCAAGGAGGATGAGTCTGACGAGGAGGAAGATAGCGATTGGGAGGATGAGGATTCCGAGAACACTTGCGACATTGTCCTGGATGAGGACGTCAAGAAGGGTGAGGAGATCACCCGCAGCTACGGACCATTCCCCAACAAGATTTTCTTGAGCAAGTACGGCTTTGCCGAGATTGGCAACCCTGATGACACTGTCACCATCCAGTTGGAAATGATCCGCAAGGCTGCCGATGGCATTCTCAACAACGCCGCCTTGGTCGAGGAGCGCGTCAAGTGGTTCTTGGACACTGAGGACAAGTTTATCGGAGAGTCTGATGATGAGGACTCTGACGATGAGCACGAGGGTGGTTGCTGCGATCATGATCACGAGGGCCATGAGCACTCCCACGATCACGAGCACTCCCACGCCGCTAACGATGCTGCAGATGTTGACGAAGAGGATGAGGGAGAGGACTCTGACGATGAGGATGATTTCCCTCGCGACATCATGTACATGGACTCGGACGGCGCCGTCGATGACCGCGTCCTCATGTTGATGAACGTTCTCTTCATGGAGCAGGAGCAGTTCGAGAAGGTCCAGGAGTCGGAGGATGTTGCCACCGAGTACTTCAACGATGTTTTCCTCCGCCGTGATATTGAGGAGAACGGTGTCGAGATCATGGAGGATGTTGATGAGGAGGGCACCGAGACCCGCAAGGTCGAGTTGGAGCCCCTCACCGATGCCGCCCGCCAGATTCGCAAGAACGTTCTCGAGGCTATCTTGGCCGTGATCCGCATCCGTGCCGATGCCTATGGCGTCACTGACAAGACCACTGCCGAGGATGATTTGGAGGCTCTCTTGAACGCCAACCTCTCTGGCGCTTTGTTCTACGGCGGTGTCTGTGTCCAGGGCGAGAAGCAGATTCTCCAGTCTGGTCTCAAGCACTATGGCGATCTCCTTGCCGCCATCTAAATCGCTTCTATCCCCTTTTGCTTTTCTCTCGCTTATTCCCCCTCAAAAATCTCTTTTACATTTTTCCCACTCCCCATTTGCATCATGCTAGCATAGCTTCATATCCCCACATAAAATAATCTTCTCTTTAGAATTTAAAAAGCATTTTTCGCTTTGTCAACGTCGTCTACTCGATGCATTTGTCAGACAAAAGCTTGCATTTTGCTACCTATAATTTGCTAAGCCACCTGAGCCAGAGTATTTAAAAGGAGGCAGAGACTTTCATTCTGTTTCTGAACCCACCACGTCCACATCTCCACCACTATTATTCCTCTACCATGACAACCACTCCAACCGCACGAAATATCCAACGAATTGTCCAAGCACGGGTAAAGAAAGACTACTATGAAATGTGGCTTCCTGCGCTACCTGACTCTCAACAAAAGCCGGATATCAACAAAAAAAAAACATAGGGTGTTGCAGATGGAGTAGGGACGATCGTGCAGCGGACCATTGGCGGCGACGACCTCGAGTCCCTGGATCCGTTCTTGACCCTGGACGAGTTCCGCATGACCAAGCCTACTCCATCCAAAGGCTCGAAGGCAACATCCTCCAAGAAGGAGGCCGGATTCCCAGACCACCCCCATCGCGGCTTCGAGACCGTGACCCTGATGCTCGAGGGCCACTTCCAGCACCAGGACTTTACCGGCCGCCAGGGCACGATTGGCCCCGGTGATGTGCAGTGGATGACGGCGGGCCGTGGGATCGTGCACGCCGAGATGCCCTACTTTCCGGAAGAGTCAGGCAAGAAAAACAAAGGAGCATCGTCGGCGATCTGGGGCTTGCAGCTGTGGGTAAACCTTCCCAAGAAGCATAAGCTGTGCAAGCCACAGTACCAAGACCTCAAGGGTGAGGCGACCCCACGCTGGACTGGATCAGGGAGCGATGTTGGGGATGGAGCAACAGTACTTGCGCAGATGGAGGATCTGGCTCTTGCTGAAAGAATCGAGTCCGAATTGAAATCGGATCAAAACAAGGACGGAGGTCCCAGCACACAGACATCAGAGCACGAAACAACTAAAAAGGCGCAGGGACATGATGAGAGCGAGGGTGTCTCAGTCAAAGTCATTGCGGGCGAGTCACATGGCGTCGCCAGCAAGGTGTATACTCGCACGCCAACCATGTACCTCGAGATCAAGATGCAAAAGAACAAAAGACTGACCGAGTGGATCCCCAAAGAGTACGACGGATTCGTCTATGTTCTCCAAGGGAAGGCACGCTTTGGATCTAGTTCCTCGAATCAACAGCTCAACAAACAAGCCGTCGTGGAAGGTAGGCCACAGCAGATGCTGATTCTTTCATCGTCTCCGACGGATCTCAAAACACAGTCCAAGGACACAACCGAAGGCGAAACACCCTCCTTGGCAAGCAACACTCTGGAACCGAATGCTACGGATGACCAACAGGAGAAACCTCGGGTGCCAGCCTTCCAAAGAACCTCGTTCCTGGACATTGAGACCACGGACGAGTCGTGTCATTTCGTGCTGATTGCGGGAGAACCCTGCCGGGAGCCTGTCTTTCGGCAAGGGCCCTTTGTGATGAACTCGAAAGAGGAGCTCGAGCGGACGTTTCGTGATTACGAGGAAAAGAAGCGCGGGTTCGAACGGGCCAAGGACTGGGTATCGACCATTGGGCAGCAGGCATCGTTGTCGGTATCACAGACGTCGCCTTCTAGCAATTTTGAGCGGGGACAAGGAAGAAGAGGTAGTACTGCTTCAGAGTCTGCCAAAGGCTCCAGGAAGAAGCCTTCGGAGAACAGGCGCAAAGGCAAATAAACCATCTTAGCGCAGCTCAATGTAAACCTGCACCTAACCTCCGCAAAAAAAAAGAATAAGTAGACAAAAAATTAACGTGATTTATCTTGTTCTTGAAGATGGCACATCTGGGTGTTAGGCACCCAGTGATGGGGTTGAATGTCGATCAGAGCAAAGTCTATACTGTTGGACGACTCCAATTGATCTGGGGCAGTAGTTGAAAAAGGGAGCGATTGAACTCTCCCTCGTGCTGGATCTAGAACTGCTGTGCTCGATCTCTTGCGCAACATAGTACTCCTCTCCAATCGAGCCACACCCTGGACTCTCTCTGTCTCCGCCTCCTTTTCTCTTTCTCTTGCGATCTAGTTACTACCATTTGCTTTGTACTCGAGAGTACAGGCATCATCAAGACAAACACACGTCTATCTTGCTTGCTCCGCACTTGCTCCGTCAATCATTCCGCGTCCAACTCGGACTACATTCGGCAACCAAAATCGCGCCATAGAAGAAAAGAAAAAGAAGAGATATTACGGGACCATGGGTTACCAATTTTGTTTAGTAACAAGATGTCAATTCGCTTGGTTGCCACAAATAATAAGCGCAGTTGTGCACTATGGATCCTTCCTCTCCTCCATACCAAACTAGCCATTTCTTCAACACTTCTCCACTCCAAACAACTCTGTCCAAGCCCCCAACGATCACCATGAAACTCTCCGCATTCGCCATCTTTACTGCCTCCTCGCCATAGTGCCGTGTCTTCTGGTCGCTGCCGCACCCATGATCGGTGATGGTGATATTAGACTACCTTGGAAGACTGACAGTAGTGGACCTCCGACCGCGGCCACACAGAGGGCGCCTAGGCGCACAGCTTAATTCACTCTTTTGGTGCTTCTTCACCTTCTAGTTCATCTGCATAAACGCACACACACACCCTCTAGAGTTGCGCACAGAGATAGCTTTTACTAGGGCCATTTAGTAGACATACACTGATTGAGGAAGACAATGGAGTGGGTGTATAGCGGTGTAGTATAGTAGGTGTCATTGTCAACAGCTTTGGATCTGGACGCAATGAGATCTGATGTGATCACACAGACACTGTCCCTTGTGCCAGCGAACCCAGTCCCTTCTCCCGTGCCTAGTTCATTTCTTTCACGTGGAAAACCTGAACTACAATGGCCCATAGACGCACCGAGTAGCGACGTGATTCGCGATGAATAAATGTATCCGCCTTTTTTTTTGCTTATTTTCAGGGTGTGCCTTCTGGGGAAGTATGAGTTTTGTTCGAGAGAAACAAAAAAAAAAAAGAGGTTTACAAACAGTGTACATCGCAAAGTGGAGTCGATTTATTTTTCTCAAACCTTACTTCCTACAGACGTCAAAAAAAGGAGGGAAAGGGAGGGATTCGAACCCACGACTGTCTTGGAGGACAGACTGCATGGATGTTTCTGCCCAGAGGCAGAAACTTTTAATATGTGTATGCAGCGCCTTGGACCACTCGGCCACCTCTCCCTTTGTTGGATATGTCCTGTATTTCTCATTTCTTGCGTGATGAACTGAACACAGCACAGCCCAACAACGCTTGACAAATGCAATTCCTCTACTTGGCTGAATAAAAGGGCTAGTCATTTTGCTATGGTAGAATTGTTATTGCAAGACAAGACTCTATACATACTAGTCTGCTGTTGGTGGAGGCATGGTGGTAATACTAGGCATACTTTGTAGTGAGTATGGACAATGCTGAGGTATATCAATCGCGTTCTACTGTGGGGGTTACTGAGGTGCGGGGGTTTCACCGGCTAGATGCAGGTGCGGGATTTTTGTGGCAGGATTCGTGACAAGAGCAGGTCTCCACCGACCGATTGTGGAACTACCCAGAAGAAGAGCAAGGCTTCAGGTACCTTTAGTCACACGAATATTGGGGCCAAGTGAGCCTGTTGAAATTTTGCCACTAAATCAATTGCCTTTCGGCATCCTTTTTTAAAGAACACGCATTTCTGCACTGATTATCATTAACATTGCTCATCCCCAACATGCCTTCCAAGATTGCTCCCATGGACATTCCTCACATACAGGAACTTGTCTGCAGGAGCCTGTCATCTCGGGACATCTACCAAGGCACACTTGTCTGCCGCGATTGGCACAGAAACCTGAGCCGTTTCTTGTGGCGCTCCATCTCTCTGTCCAAGAAAGCGACCCTTCGACGGTTCCTGACCTCGCCTCAAGCCCAACATGCTACCGAACTTTCCTACCTGATTGAGAATCTGACATCGCCATACTCCGAGATATTTTCCTGCTTTTTATCCACCGTCGTCATTCACAATACCGAGTGCCAGCGCTATGATGGTGAAGACTCTTCAGAGAACGTGGTACACCTCGAGCAGCAAGAAGACCATTCTGTATTTGAGGACCTATATCACCTGTTTAACGAAACACTGGCACCACCTCGGTCTCTCCAGGTTTCAACAAAGGTGACATGCCAGTTCAGGCAACTGACCGAGCTGCGGAGCACCTGTATCAGCGCCAGAGACGTTCCGATCAACCATTTCCAAAAGCGGCGACAAGCTTTGCCAACACTTTTCCAAATCATTCAACAGGCGCCTTTGCTCAAGGTCCTGGAGCTCGGCTCCCTGCCCGTGGATCCAGCGACGATCGCCTGGATTATGCCCATTCTCTGGCGCCACCCATCTCTCCAAGAGCTCAAGCTCTGGAGTAGAGGCGTCATTCGCGTGAGTGAAGTGCGCGCGATCCTGTGGTACTCGACCGGCCTCAAAAAGCTGACATGGCTTCAAGATCCCGAGCATCCGGGTAACATTGACTTGGATTGTGACCTTGTCACCGAGGGCCGTATTCAGGAGCTTCAGTCCTTGTTCCCGGGCTACCACCCCAATAGTGTCGAGACGTTCCACTATACTGAACCCCCTACGGTCGCCGCGACTGCGTTGTATCGCCTGGAAGAGCTCGACCTGCGCACCGCACCTATTCCCCACGATCTTGCAAGAACATTGTTCCTCCCCTTCTTGCGTGGATACTGTCCCAACCTGAAGCGGCTGGTCTACCCTTGGATCCCTAGTAGCGACGACCCAGATCCCGAATTTGACTACTATCTACCCGGCGTGCCCATGGTGATCAACTACGGCATGCCCCACTTGCGCCACCTCGACCTTCGAAATGTGAACCACACCGTTGACGAAATGATGGAAACCATCCTTGAGAGCTGCTCCCAACTCGAAACGTTCTATGCACCCGGTGGAGAGACCTCCTTTGGGGACCTGGCCTGCAACGCCTTGCTCACGGACCATGCCCTGTCTCTGCGGGAGGTGTCCTTTGCGAAATGTGGCATCGCCAACTACAACATGATCCGGGTCCTGCGGAACTGCCCCAACTTGCAGCGGTTCCGCGCACTGATGGCGGATGTGGAGCAAGACAATGAGAACTCGGGCTACTTCTTTGTGGGCGACTCAACCGTCGATCCAGTCTTTTCGTTCAAGCCCGCTATGGGGGCCTTGCACCCAGAGGAGGTCTATGGGCCCTGGGCATGCAAGGGTTTGAAGACCCTGTCCCTGCGGTTCAAGAAGCCGGCCGGGCAAACGTCTGCGAATCTCGTGCCCCTGTCACTGCTGGCTCGGATTGGTGTGCTAAGAGAGCTCGAGGAACTGTTCCTGGAGCAGGCCGACACTGAGAACGAAGGCGAGGGCGAAGACGAGAACGATGACGAGGAGGTCAAGGATCCGTTGGAGAAAGTGATGATCCAGGATGGGGTGCACTATTTCTTCTTCACGGGGTTCCAGCTGCTCATGGGTCTAAAGCGTCTGAAGCGGTTTGTACTGGTCAACATGGACTTGGCGCTAGTTGAGCCGGCGTGCCTGACGCTCGAGGCGCTTCTTCCGAGACTTGGGGAGCCGATCCGGGTGTGGGAGAAGTCGTCCATTTGAATCAGATGAAAAGAAAAAAAAAAAAAAAAAAAAAAAAAAAGGCACGAAATGTTGTGTTGCAAAAGAAATAGGGCGTACGAAAATCCAGCACAAGAAAGTGCATATTCGCGCTGAAATAGTTTTTGTCCGCAACTTGAGAGTTGATATGGGGCCCATGGGACAGTTTATGCGAGAAAGCATTTCCGTATGCCCTTTTTTCATTCTCCGTACAGTCCCCGAGTCCGGATCATTGGGCCGAGTCGCATATTGAATCGATACTGCTTGAAGGACAATCATTGAGGATCGCGTAGAAAAGGAACGCTCCTTCGCCTATTGCGGTGTTCCAGTTAAACAGTTATCATGACGGTATGGAGTAAGTTGGCTGCAATGGCTCTTTATTTGGGATATGAGGTGTGGGCGAATGCAGTTTCAGCATTTAATGATCGTGAAGAGAGCGGGGGGGAGAGGATGTTGAGTGAAAGGTCGGAGGCGCGCTGGATTTATTCGGTCTCGTACTTGTGGGCAATGTCCTTCCACTGGCGCTATTTGACATAGAAGAGAATAAAGCAAGCGACTTGTCAGAGTGCAGGTAAAATAATCCGAAGGACGGGAAGAGTTGTCAAAATAAGGAGATCCGAGAGTGAAATAGATCGCTTCCTGTGTTGGGCTCCAATGATGATATGTCGCGTATTTCTCCAATTGGTGTGTATATGCGGATCGGGAGGTGCCGTGTTGTTCTGTCCGTCATGCTTGGTCCAGCTTAGAACTAGTAAGACAGCCATGGCCTCTGATTAGAAAGGGTCAGGAAGAGTCTTGGCAATAGGTCCGTGTCTTTGTCTCCAATCCTGATGCAGTTCCCGCCTTTGTTGATTTGATCCGGAGGTATCCGATGGCGTGTTGCCAACGCTTTTCCGAGTTCCGATCCGCGACGTTGTGTTCCGCGTGGGAAGTTGTGAGGCCACAAAAAGACAAAAATAAGGAAAGAGTAAAGGTTGTGGGTAGGACTAAAACGCCACTAGGAAAAATGGATGAAGGTAACATACGCCCTTGTTGATGTTGTCCCAGATGCGGTCGGAGACGGAGTCAAAGACCATCTCGGCGGCGAAGGCAGAGACAAAGATGGTGGTCAAGAAGATGGAGTTGCGCTTGACGATGGTGTTGTAGCCGAAGCGGGCGAACTTGTTGGCGGCAGTGCCGTTGCTGGACTGAACGGGCATGGTGATGTGATGTACGGTGGAGGAGATGGAGGAAGGACAATCGAAATTTCGGATGTTCGGATTTGATTCAAAAAGCGAGGTGCAGACCTGCCGCCCTCCGAAGTAATGTCACTGTATACATAAAAATCGCCTGTGCTGCCATGCACGCTTCATTTCACGTACGAAGAGGCTTTGTCCAATCAGAATCGTGTACGTTGATATTCAAATAAATCTCCGATCTGGCTGCAACAAGCTATTAGCGAGTCCGCACTGTTGTTGACGAGGTTTCCTTCTCTCACTCTTGCTTTAAAGAAACCCCCCAAAGAACTCAAAAATGGAGACCCCCCAGATCACCCTTGAGACCTACGTCCCCCGCAAGTGGTAATGACAGCAAACCACTGCATCAAACGAGCACAGGAAGCAACAATAGAATCAGCGAACAGCAAAAAAAACTGATCAGCATCAGGGTTCAGGATCAGGAAAGAGAGCACAACAAATCTCAAATTGAGAATGCTGCATGTAGAAACCATCATCAAATTCACGAAATGACGGTATTCTCCAACAAATCAAAATCAAGATCAGCATGGAGGCACCATCATCAAATGGACACCAGGGATCTTTTGATTGAGATCATCTTCAAAATCGGGAAATGTCGAAATTGCATGGGGAGGATCTGCTCATTTTGCTTTGGTCCGATAAGACCTTTTGCAAGACAACGGACTCTCTTCCAAAGCAATTGCATGGGCCAGATAACTACATGGTCGATCATGGGTCAAGGATCAAGAGTGGATAATCATTCACCAATATGCAATCAAGGAGGGAAGCATTTTCATGTTGCACAAGAGTACTCACCCTTGTGTGTGTTTTTTTCTCTGAAAAATGAAAACATTAGCTCCGCCACTAACCGCCTCATCGGCGCCAAGGACCACGCTTCCGTCCAGATCAACATCGGTGGTGTTGACGAGAACGGTCGCTACACCGGCTCTTTCACCACCTACGCTCTCTCCGGCTACGTCCGTGCCCAGAGCGAGGCTGATGACTCCATCAACCGCCTTGCCACCAAGGACGGCTGTAAGTTATATTTCTTGCCTTGATCGAAACACATTCACTCATGAGGAAAGTTAGGTCTTGTATCCTAACCTCTCTTGCTTTATCTCTCTTTTCTCTTAGTGTTGTCCATGGTCTGGAACTACCAGAAGTAAATCTACTTTTTTTCCCATTAAAAAAAGTATATTTATCAGTTTTTGACGAATGGTTTTGATACACCTTTCATTTTCTTTTTTGGGGGGCCACCCTGGTCATTCCTTCGGATATTTGAAAAACGTGAATAAAAATCGTCCTTAGAGACTCCAGAAAATCAAAACCAAGCACGCTGAAGAACTGTGCTTTTGTGCTTTTGTGC